ATGTTGTGAGAAACTTAATTGAGAATCTAGAACTACTCCCAGATACTTCATTTGTGAAACATTTCCTTTGAAGCTACTGTCAATATAAATCTTAAAATGCTCGTCCAAAAATACATTGCAATTTTGTTTTCTCCCAAATACCATATATGCTATTTCATTTAAATTTAACTTGGGTTTATTTACGCACAACCAGTCACTAAATAATCTTAATTCCGAGTTCATATTGTCCACCACTTCTAAAGTAATTTTTCCCAGAAATTATTCACATATAGAATAAAAAGCAACAGTCCTATTGCACTGCCCTGGGGCACATCTACATTGCTTTCTAAGTTATCAGAAACCACGTTATTAATCCTTGTTAGATGGAATCTGTCGCATAATCAACTATTCACACAAGCACATTCCCTCTGATCACATATGCAAACAGTGTATCCACCAGACGTTCTCTATCAATGGTCTCAAAGGCTCTTTGAAGATCAATGAACACAGTTAAAACTATATTACCGTCATGAATGTCAGGACTCCATTTCGAGCACACAAATTGTAAAGACGATTCGCACGAGTGTTTCTCCCGAAACCCAGACTGCCCTTTAAAATTAGTTTATTTTTTTCTAGGAAGCTATGCAGCTGCTTAAACACAATTGTTTCTAAAATTATTTGGCCGGTAGTCTCCAGATTTACTTGGAACTATTACTTTGGGTATAGGTACAATAAAGCTTTTCTTGATCTCTTCGGGAATTTTTCCTGTCTTAAGTGAGGCAGTATTTTTCAAAAAGTTTATATCGCATATGTTATCAGCTGTTGATTTATTTTTCAATTTCATTACATACGTCTTAGTTCATTTATATTCAGCGTTTGAAAGCGTGTGAACTCCTTAAGATTTTTTGTACTGATTTCCTCAAGATTGGTTTGTAAGGGGTGTTTTTTTTTTTCGATGTATAGAACTTTAAGTTGCAATAATACAACGATTGACATGAATTTTATTTATCCGAAAGATAATCTTGTGGCATTACATTTTAAATAGGATTTCTGGCATATGAGCGCCACGGCTGGCGCAAATGTAATCCAATCTGGACGTCCAATTTTCGAGGACTTTTTCCAACATTTGTGGCCGTATATCGGCAATAACGCGGCGAATGTTGTCTTCCAAATGGTCAAGCGTTTATGGCTTATCCGCATAGTCCAATGACTTTACATAGTCCCACAGAAAGTAGTCTAGCGGTGTTAAATCACAAGATCTCGGAGGCCAATTCACAGGTCCAAAACGTGAAATTAGGTGGTCATCAAACGTGTCTTTCAATAAATCGATTGTGGCACGGGCTGTGTGACATGTTGCGCCGTTTTGTTGAAACCACATCTCCTGGACATCATAGTTATTGAATTCAGGAATAAAAGAGTTAGTAATCATTGACTGTAACGTTCTGGCCATCATCGTTTTTGAAGAAGTACGGACCAATGATTCCACCAGCCCATAAAGCTCACCAAACAGTCAGTTTTTCTGGATGTAACGGTGTTTCAACATACACTTGAGGATTAGCTTCGCTCCAAATGCGGCAGTTTTGTTTGTTGACGTAGCCATTCAACCAGAAGTGCGCTTCATCGCTAAACAAAATTCGCTTATGAGAATCGGGAACAACGGCAATCTCGTTTTGGGCCCATTCGACGAATCTACGCCTTACTTGATGATCGTTTGGCTTCAATTCTTGCGCGAGTTGGATTTTGTAAGCACGTAAACCAAGATCCTTCCGCAAAATCTACAATACAGTGGATGGACACAGATCCAATGCCAGTGCTCGATGGCGGATGGACTCATTCGGGTCTTCCTCAATGCTACGCTCTATAGCAGCAATAGCTTCTTCTGTATGGCATCTCTGGGGATGCGAGTTATCAATAAGAGTAAACGTGGTGCAAAAACGTTCCATGGTTAATCGAATTAACTGCTCTGATGGACGATTTTGTAGACGATAAAATTCCGCACGGAACCATTATTTTCGAAATAAAATTGCACTATTTGCAAGCGTTGTTCGGGCGTGAGTCTATTCATGATGAATAGCCAAACCAAACTGAGACAACTGTTAAATCGGTGGTCATCTTGAACAGTAATGCCAACTTAAAGTTCTATACATCGAAAAAAAAACACCCTTTATATTTGCATATTTTTGCATAGAAGTTGTTAAAATTTTGTTCTGTATTATCCAAATTGATTGTCAAAGTTGCCACATGTTCTTGCTGTTTCCCTTACACCGATCAATGCTTCTTTCATAACATTTCGACTTCTCACTTCTTAAAACCCTCACAAATGTATTCCTTTTGGTTTGGCAATATATCTCGTGCTTTTTGTGCCTGAAGTATCATAGAACTCATCCCAGGAACTGCCATTAATCTTTTTTTTCGTCGGTACTAATTTATCTACAACCTGGTTTACATTAGTTATAAAAGTAACGCATACTTAATGGTCTACAATATTTTTCGGTACAAAAACGTCAGGAAAAATGTGAATCGCAGAGTTAATACATGGCAATCTTGTTATTTCCAAGTTCATAGTAACCCGGGATAATTATTTGATTTTTGTTAGTTGCCAAGGAAACTCACCAAAACAAACCAGGAAAGTTGTAGTAAGTTCTGTAAGTGTTTTTGTTCGGGTTTTATGGCCGTCGTTGAGTGGAATTTCTTCCTGACCTTTCGCTAGCTGACCGGCCTGGGGAGTCGTGGAGGGGAGGAGGCGGGGCATTTTAACGCATGAGTGGTTGTGACTACCATGGAGACAGAACAAAAAACAAAACACAAAGCGAGATAATTTTTGAAAAGTCAGTCGTGTCGCGAATTTGCCAGAGATATTGACCACTGACTCTCGCTCAACATTCGTAGATATAATTTGTTTTTTAGAGAGTGATTATCTTCATCCAAACTTACTTTTAGTACGCACATGAAAATTCCCAAAGAATGCAATACGTAATTTTCTAGAATACCCCTTTTTTATATCGTTATCTATCTATTTTGTAATTGGGTTTTCCATCTAACCACAATCATCATAATTTGCAATTTTTCTTACAACACTAAAGCATTGGTGGTTCCAGTGTTTTGGCCATAATGTAAGAAGGCATCAGCAAATTTTTTTAGTTGAAAACAATATACATCTATTTTCTGAACCTACTTGTGTTATTATTAATATTATTACTTTCGCCGTCATTAGTATTTTTTTTGCTTCTCTTTTTTTATTTCCAATTTTTTTTGCGAATTGTTTGTAACAAATAAAAATTTATATTTTTAGTTATTATTAATTACATATAGCATGTGAATATCGCAAACCATAGGCGACACAGGCTCAGTTAAATAAAGAAAATCTTAAAGAATTTTAATGAGATTCGATAAAATATAAAAAGGTGAATTGTATATTTTGTCTGTAAAGTCCAAAATACGCCAAATAATGTTGTGGGGTTTTTTAATAAAATAAAATACCTAACATAACATACAGGGTAACAGAATTGCGTTCTTTTTTTCTCGAGATTCACAAAAGCAAAATTTGTTTTTTTGTACTAGGCCATGATCGCTTTCAACGGAATTTGGAAAAGCTAACGTTGTGACAGGTTGGTTAATGCTATAAACACAGTAGGCTTTGAGAAAATAAATGTCCCTATGGATAAATGCCTTTATTGACATTTTGTGGTTTTCCGGCTTTCATGATCCACAGATACACTTCCTTCCATACTATATGAACCAACGTAATGTTAAAAAAGAGCAAGAATTACGTCAGCTTGTTTTAGAAGCATTTAAAACCATATCATCAAATGTACTTAACAATAAGTTGAGTTCCACAGTTACGTATGCTTAGAAAATAATGCTCATTTATTTAAACATCTTTTGTAATTGAGACTATAAATATCCCAATTATTAATATTAATTACCAAATCGAGTTATTATTATTATTTATATATTCCAATGTAATTAATAAGTAAATCAAAGTTCTAAAAATGTAATTAGTAAGGAAACAAATTTGTTTGAATGTTTTTTCGATATTGACTTTTAGATTTTGAATAAGCAATAATTTTAATCTTACTATAGTACAATTTTTGTTTTTCCAAATGTCTATTATGCATCATCTCAAAAATATGGCGATATGGCGCTAATAAGGATATTTCAAAATCAATAATGTGTTTCGAAAACAAATGAAAAAAATCTGTTTAATTTAACGTCATCATATTCTTCTTCTAATAATGTACCAATCCCAAGATCATGTTTGTCCTATTTTGGGTTTTACAGACACAAACAGAAAATTCATCTTTTTGTATTTTCTCGAATTTCTCATAAACGATTCAAGCAAGTTTCTCATAAAATTCTTTAAAACTTTTCAAATTTAACCGTTTGGTACGGTACCCCCATGCTATTCCATCCTTATATTGCACACGCTGTATATTCATTTTTTTGTAACTTCAGGGTAATGTAGTCGTTATTGTTATAAATATTGATTTCTAGAACAATAAAGTTGAGTCTTTTTTTTAAGTCTTTCCACAGTCGCAATGTTATGTTGTTATATTTCTTCGAGGCAAACAAAAGTCGTCAAGCTATCCCATGGCTATTTTTTTGTCACTTCACGCTTTGGCAGTCCTTAGTTATAGCTGTTGGTTTTTGCAACAATAAACAAATTAAGTTGGCTCGTTTTTTATAGTCTTTCCATACTCGCAGGGTAATATTGTCATATTTCTTCGAGGTAAATATTAATCCTCAAGCTTTTTTATAACAGTGGTACAATTTGAACGAACCTAGTCCTTCCGCCCCTTGCACCCCAAGTCTTCCCTGGTACTCGCGGCAATCACATACTCTTATAACTGCGAGTCAACGATAATGTGTGCCAAGTACGCGCCGCCTCTGACCGCAGCCTCCTCCCGCCACCCCACCTCGAACCCGGCGCTGATGCCTTCATCGCTAGTTGAGTTGTCGGCCTGTCAGCCCAGCGGCCCTGCTTGGTCCGGCCCTCGCTAGTTAGTTTCGAGCAACGGCGCGAGTGAGACCTCGTCATACCACCACGAAAACAGTGACGTACGTGCGCGCGAATACATCGACTATCGAAATCGCGTTAAAGCAGACAGTGTCGGCACGCGATTGTTTCTTTGGACGTTTACCGTGGATCAAATGTTGTTGAGGGTGAGTGGATGGGTGTTCCCCCAAGGATACGGTGTTGGTGGTGTACCGGAATGTGAATACTGTTCAGCGGTCAGCTCAGTCGGCTCCGAAGGGAGCCAATTTGAGCCGGAAGCTTTGATTCGAGGGTCCGTACCCTTCCAAAACGCCCGGGCCATCGAACTTTTGCGTTATGGGTTTTGCTGCGCACTCAGAAGACGTTGGGAAGGACGGTTTCTAAACCAAAATGCACCACACTCGCTATACGTGAACTAACGCAGTTTTTGCACGATAGAGATTTCAGAATATTTGACAATATTTCTAGGATTGTTTTCCAAAATAACAATAACTTATCAGAAAATAACATTTGTATGTTTTCCGATAACAACAAGACAGAAGTAAATAGAAGTAATAAAAACTTTTTCTCACAGTTCTACCTACCAAATCACTAGATAGCAAATCTTTGATGACAATGTCTCTTTTTTCAAACTTAAAAAAAAAGGTGCATACTATTAAATTTTTTTTTAATTAAAAAGACAGATTTGATGGTAACCATGTCAAAAAATGATACACGCCACTGCATTTTACGGAAAAAAATATTTAAGGGTGCTTTTTTACATTTTGGGTACGTTAAAAAATAACTAAAATACGAGGGTGTGCCAAATTTGGAAATTTTCAACTCCAAAATTGATAGTCAGAGGAATGTAATTTCTACCGTCTTTGTTTAAAAAAAAAAGTTACGAAGTTACCCAAACTGTAATACCCTCTAGGTTGGGGTAATTATATCTCGATTTCACGTTTTTCGAAACTCAAAAATTATAAATATGTTTCTTTAAGTATTTTTTTATGAACAATGGCTGTTTGGTGTCGCAAAAATAGAAAAAATAAGATTACATTTTATTTCGACACTATCGAAAAAAAAAGTATACTATACAGAGCGGTCTTGTCCAAAAAAGAGCCAAGTCATTAAGACAATAAATATTTTTTAATAAATTCCGTCCAAAATTTGTTTTGCATTTGCATCTTTTGTTTTTCATCTAAATCTGTTTTCTGTTCTATTTCTATTTCTTAAATATTATATTATATAGAAAGGTTTTTTTCAAATTTTGAAAATGTCGTGAACCTCGGTATAATTATATTTTAATTTGTTTTTTTTTAATTATATTCATTAAAATTAAAAAGATATTTTTTTTTGTATCCTAGTTCGGGAAAGAGTATTTATTTATGTCTGATGAGTTTTTTTTTGCGAAAGAAAATATACAGAAAACAAACACTTTAATTTGCTTATCGAGATCGGCCAAAATTTTCACACAATACAAACTGCTAAAGAACATAAACTAATTTTACGTATTGATCCAGATGGTCAGTTAGACTTCTTGGTATAACAGGAAGCGGAACATATTAAGGTGGGCACCTGCGAAATTATTGATCATCATTGAAAAGGATTATTGGAAAAAATAAAATAGACTATTGACACTCGAAATTTCTTTTTCCTGTTCCCTGTTTTTAGAGATGTTAATTTTAATTACAAATATTTAAAATTTTGGAGACATTTGTATTTAAATTACATTTAAAATACACGAAAAAACTATTTAAATCCGTACATCTTAACAGTGTTAGTTTTATTTGTGTGAATGAGTTATATACTTTGCTTATTTATGTATGAAGATGTAACAATCTGTTACTTTTTTGAAGTTCCATGCTGTTTTTCATGTTTTGTTTTTTTCCCTATCAGGAAATCGTGTCAACTTAAACTTTATCATTTTTTTTGCATTCTGTTGTAAGACCTATGCTTACTCCTAGGTTTTCTCACATTTCTTCAATTTTTTCAAAATATATTTTAAATGTGTTGTCGTCGCTTTTCAGAAGTTCACATCTTTGCAATATTAAAATATATTTTTTAATGGGTATCACAATCATGTGCCTATATATACATACACATTTTGAAAATGAGTTCTAATTGTCGAGGCTATTTCAATTACAAAAATCAAGGGGCGCTTTTTTGTCTATCTGTCTTCCCAGTAATTTTTTAATTCTTTGCCAATTTGAATTTTTTTTGTTAAAAAATTTAAATTTTTTTGAATTTCTTTTTTTTGTTCGTTTTGCAGTCTTGTTGTCTCTATCTTGGTGCCATTGGGGCCTTTAAAAAATAAAACATCGAAATCAAACCCCTAAAACAAAAATGCCCGTTTCAGGCGTGCAATTGTGGCAATTCCACATTCCACCCCATCTGAAGGGAGGGGGTCATGCCCGAAAAAGAGGAGTTCGGAATGTCTGCCGGGCTCCCAATGCAATTTCCCCAAGGTCCGTTCGGGGCTTTCCACGCGCCGCCACTGGAGCAGCGATCCCCCGACGGTCGTTTCGTCTGGCCCCCCCAACCGCCTGGCGCGTTCCACCCGCCTCCGGGGTAAGTCTATCAGTTATTTGCCTCAAAATTTTATCCGACTGAGGAACCGAAAATACAACCAATTTTTAAATTATTTCTTCCGGGTATGTATATGAGTTATACAGGGTGTTTGAATGCACAAATGAGGGGTCAGCCGAGGGAGCAGTGGCTGTGGGTGGGGTGCAGATCTCATGGAGATGTGATGTGAAAATGTAAAAAAATGTATTAAAATTCACTGTATATGGTTTGAATAAAACGAAGCTTGAGCAGCTGACAAAAAATTATTGATAGGCACGCGACTATACTTACCATCGGTGTAGGTTTAGGCGGAATGGAAAGAAAAGTCTAAAAGTATCTTCTAATGGATATTTATTAAAACATGGTTATATTCGTAAAAACTATAAAAATTTAAAGGGCGTCCCAAATTCACCTAAAATGTTTTCCCATAAAACTAATTTTAATCCTAGTACTCGCTTAGGCAACGAGCGTATTGAAAATTTCATTTTTTTTGTTTGGATTTTTTAAATTCCAAATCTTCCACATTATGAATTTATAAAAAATATGAATAACAGAATAGAATTAGTAGTAATGTTCAAACAACTTCTAAGCACCCATCTATTTCGTCTTTATATACCTAATTAAATGCCAAAGTAAATTAATGTGCAGCTGAAAAACAATAGATATTGATTTTTAAACAAGAAAAAACAGCGGAATTTTTCTTAATCAAGACTATCTCACCATCAAGCAGTTCATTTTGATAAAGCAATTTAGCAAAACAAAAGAAAAAATATCGATATTTGAAAAGAAATATGTTGAACTGAGGAGGCTTTTACTTGATGAAAATCCAATTATCGCCGCGTCTTTATCAAACATTTGATAAAGTCGAAACAATTGTCATGTCAAAATATATAATTTCGTGAAAATCTGAACTTTTAGTTCTTATTTATTTTTTTAAAGAAATATGTACTTATATGGCGGCCTATCTTACTGATTGAAATCAATCGCATTAACTAGTCGGAAAAGTTTAACTAAACAGACACTTTGTTAAAACTTTTTTGTGTTGCTATCTGTAAAAGGAGGCTTTGACAATTTCAGCCTACTTTTGTTTATTAAATGATATTAAATTCGAAACTTGATTATTACTAGTTATAAAAAATTGTCATGATTGCAATGTTGGTCACTGTTGCATGTAATTAGGGTGTAAGTAAATAAAAAAAGGAAGTAAAATGCGATCATAAGTATATGAGAGCCTCGGGTGGGAATTTGCAAATTGTGCTTTCACAAAAATTATTAAAAAATTCGGTGAGTCACAAATTGTTGAGCTTTAGCACCTGATGAATTCTTTTTATTCCCTACATTAAGAATAAATTACGTGGACAACGATTTTTGACACCTGAAGAAGCGGTTGATGCGTTTAAAAGGCATGTTTTGGAGGTGCCCTGTTCGGTGTGCTTTGTGGATTGGTTTTATCGAATGCAAAAGTGAATTGATCATTAGGGTGAATATTTTGAGAAACAATAAATTCATGTTTGTTGGTAGTTTATACGAGGTTAGCGTCAAAATTTCCCGGCCTGACAGATGCAGCTCCATCCAGTATGACGATAAAACTTTGTCTTCGTTTAAATATATGTCTTAGTAGGCTACGAGAGAAAAATTGAAGTCTTGCGTCAAATAATTTTTTGTTGACAGCATTTTAAAGAAGACGTGTCCGAAAAAATGTCGCAAATAACGCAAATTGGGTATAGAGCAGTCATAAAGTTTTTGACAAAAGAAGGATTAGCACCTAAAATTATAATGAAAGGCTGGATGGTGTGTACGGCCAAAGTTCTCCTTCGTATTCTGTAGTCAAGGAATGGGCAAAACGTTTTCGAATGAGGCAGGAGTCCCTTGAAGATGATTCAAGAACTGGTCGGCCAGTGGAGGTCATAACGGAAGTCATTGTTGCGATTGTGGAAGAGGTGGTATTGAGTGATCGACTTTTAAAGGTCAAGGATATCTCAGAAATTACTAAGCTTTCTGATACAAGTGTTCGTCGAATCCTGCATGATCATTTAGGTATACATAAGGTTAGTGCAAGATGGGTTCCTAAAAACCATTCGGCTATTCAGAAACAACTCCGTGTCGAGTGTGCGCGGTCTTTTTTCGAACTCTGTGGGTCGGAACAGAAGCCTGTGATAGAAACTATTGTGACGGGAGATGACACTATGGTTCTCTATTATGACCCTCTATCGAAAAAAGAATCAATGGAGTGGCTCGTAAGGGTGAAGCACCTCCAAGAAAATTCAGAGTCTGTCAGTCAACAAAAAAGGTGATGGCCACGATCTTTTGGGATTGTGAAGGAATTCTTTTGATAGATTTTAAAGAAACTGATACCACTGTCAATGGTAAATATTACGTAATATTATTACATAAATTACACGTCGAGGAAAACTGACGTCGTCTTTTGCACGACAATGCACCTGTCCATACTGTTCGTGTTGTACAAGCTGCCATTTTAGAGTGTAGGTTCCAACAGATAGATCATCCTCCCTATAGTCCAGATATGGCCCCCAGCGACTATTATTTGTTTGAATATTTGAAAAAGGACTTACGTGGACAGCGGTTTAACGACGAAGTTGAGTTAAAAGAGGCTGTTTTAGCTCATTTTGCAGAGAAACCAAAACAATATTTTTTTAAAAGGATTGTGTGGAATAAGTGTATTGAGGTTAAGGGGGGATTATATTGAAAAATAATAAAAAAAGTTACTCTACTTTGTTTCTTTCATAATCAGGCCGGGAAATTTTCCCGAAATATAAAAGGTAGCCCTCGTATATGTAATCTCGAAGAAGAACAATAATGGCGACACGTGAATACCGTAAACAAATGCGTACAGGAAGTATGGCGCGCAAACAATTAGAAATTCACGGAACCTGCCGTGCTGTAGGGGATAATACAGTTGTAATCCCTCCGTGTTTGACCTGCGATTTTTGTCCGTTTTCAATACCACCCCCGGGGCCTCGAAGAAAGAACTTGACCGTCCTCGCCCGACAATGCGAGATCATGCCCGGGTAGAAATCCAAAGGATTTTCAAAAGGCGCGTAACATTGCATTTTTTTCGGCATTCGGCGGGCCTCCGATCCCGATTTAACGATGCAGTTAAAACGATGTTTACTATGTTGGCATGTTCCGGTACTAAAACCTTTAAATAAACTAGGCGTGCCAGTCGACGTTTTCCTCAATCGCTTATTTGTTTGAACCTCGGGTTGAATGAAACCCGTCCGCAATGGTTTACAGTCGCCGGACGGCTGGGGAGGGCGAGTTAAGATTTCGAAAATATTTTTTAACACTTTACGAGACTTCAAATTTTTATAAAACTGCAACATATAAAATTTTAATTACGAAAAACAGGTCATACCGCGAAAAAAATTTCTTACCGGCTTATTTGTATATTTTTGAGGGCCCTCTGTCACGTCATTTTTTTATAGTGCGCTCTATATCTTAAAAATGTTATTTTATTAACACCTGTGACATGTACATGTTTGTTCCATGTCAGGCACGATTTTTATGAAATTAAATGTGATTTGGCAACACTGGATAATATTAGGTTTCTCTGCAAAGCGACGGAGTTGGCGCAGAAGCGTCAGTACAGCGTTGTAACCTTTTTCTAGTGTTCTGGAACGTATAAATATGAAAAGAAGTCATTGTGTGAACAATCCAATCTGTGGTAGGTATGCACTGGTAAAGCTAAGCTTATTTTGGTGCAAAAATTGGCGACCAAGAAAAGTCCCGGACTTCTCATATTGTTTGTTGCGTGAAACGTGCAAGTCGGGCGCTTTGGGATCTGATGTGAAGTCTGAGTCATCTGGGTCGGAATGACGTTTTTTGGTCCTTTTGGGGCAGTAGGTACCGGTACATCAGGTCCATGAAGAACTCGTCAAATAGCCGAATCCAGATTGGGATACACAATTTGTTTCTTATTTGTTCTGTTGAATCCTCGAACATTAGACGAACAACAATGACAATCACCACTGTGATTCCTAGGCTCTCGCCACACCATCGGAACAGGGCTTAAACATTTCTTTCTACCGTTTTGTCAGTTTCTTAATGCTTCAACAAAAACGAAACAAACAATGTGAGAAGCCCAATCCATTTAAAAATAATACCTAACATAAACATAAACAGAGCCCCAAAAAATATACAAAAAATATATATAATATATTTACAATAATGTATTTACAAAAAATATATATTTTCAAAACCTGCGCAAGATCAGTCTGTAAAAAGCGTCAAGAGTAAAAGGGGTTGTGCCAAGGGGAAAAGGTTCATTATTTAACAACTAACTGATAGTGTTACTAATAACACAACATTTTGGTAGTGTCTGCGTTTTCTGATAGTGTAATTTGGATTTCCACGATAAGAGTGGATTTCACTGCATCAATTATTAAAATGGTCGTTTCTTTCTTTTAATCGCGTTTACCGCTAGAAATGTCCTAAAAATCACGTTTTCACGTTTGGTGGAAAAAAGCCCCCAAAAATATACAAGCAAGCTTCAACGTCAAAATCATTGTGGACCTTTCCACCGGCCATCATGATGTCTTCGCCCCCGAGCACGAATCCACTGGTCGCTTTCTAGATCTGATTCGCGGTACTCGCAACGATTTAAGAGAAAATTCGGAGAACGACGATGTCTACGTTGTTACCCGTAAAACTGAGTAAATATTGGAGTTGATATTGAGTTGTAAATTGGTCCTCTCGGACGGGCTAGTGTTAATGCGTGTGTTTGTAGAACTTGATTCCATAATAGAGCCGCATTCCTGGGGCCCGGGGCGGAGAGTATCGGACGGCGGGAGCCGAAGACCGCCGCGCGGCCAAAGTTATGTGGTGAGAGGTTACCAAACTACACGTCGCGGCCGCGGCCAGAATTAAGATATAAATTTTAACAAGGTATAATTATTGCCGTTGCCGTGGCGTGACGATTTTCGAATTATCTTACGCTAGCCTGTTAACTAATTATCATAATTGCAAACGTCTTCGCCGGCCGT